CTTCGGCAGTTTAACTGCAGTGCAGAAAAGGCTTGGCACACTGAGATATAAACCTCTGGTTTAAGTATAAATTACTAAAATACTCTGTTATTTTTTCTCGTAAGTATCTCTCCTTGACATGAATCCCCATAGATGTCTTAGGTAATAACTGATATTCCAAGAAAAAATTGTGAGAAACAACGAAAGAAGAAGGAAATTTACATTTTAATCTGATATATTAGATCATCTTTCCAAACTGAAATTTCTCTTAACTGTGGCCATCACAATTAATTCATGCCTACTCCTGTCAATAAATCTTTGGGTGGTGGCTTAATAGTCTTTTAGAAATGAATCTTTTGCAAAGCTGGAGTTCTGCTTCCTGCCCCAGCTCCCTGAAAGAGAATGTGCAGAGAGATTAAGGCACAGTATGGATTGTAACCAGACAGATGTGGGCTCAAACTGTGGGCGTGTCTCCTTCTTAGACTTTCAGTGCTTCCAGAGCCTATCATGTGAATTATGAATGAACATATCTACTTCTTCAGGTTGATTTAAACATTAATTGTTATAATATATGTAAAGCACCCAGCAGAGTCTGGTATTCAGTAAATGCTCAATTTGAGAGTTGATATTGCTGTATGTAGGATTACCTTAAATTTGATACACTGGCTGCGTTTTTCTCAACTATATTAGTCCATTCAATGCCTAAGTCAACGGTTATCTTCTGCATGATGCAATCTTGAAACCAAAAAGATTAATTGCTTCTTTGAAATGCTATGGATTTATAATCTTCAAGTTCTAATTTAACCATGACTTGCAAGAGAGTGCTCTATACTAATGTAATGTTTCTTAATCTTGTCATCCTGACTAGATCAAGAGCCCTTGGGGACAGGGACTGTGTTTATTTTGGTTTTTGCTTTTGACAAGGTGCTTAACTTATGAGCTTGAACATAATCAATATTCAATAAATATTGATAAAATGACAGATAGACAACATATAGGAGTAAGCAAAACTTACCAATTGATTCTGTTTTGTATTTTATCCTATTTTAAAAATAATTTTATTTTCACAATTTTTTTTTAAATGGTACTTGGTACAGTGCCTGTGTCAAACAGGTTGTTTAACAGACACTTGATCCATGAATGGATGTAGCTAGTTTTCATTTACAGAGGATGAATGCCACCATTCTGGATAACTTCTATACTTTTCTTATTTTCCAGTTCTGGCAGACCTTAAAAATCCCTGTTTTTTCTTTCTTCCAGGAATATCTCATGCTATGTCTACTTTACTAGTATAGTCGAACTTCATTATTTGTGGACTCTAGGTTTGCAAGTTGGCCTACTTTCTAAAATTTCGTTGTAAGCTCAAAATCGATACTCACTGCTCCTTCTCAGTCATGCACAGACATGTGCGAGCAGCAGAACAGTTGAGCTCCTGATATACTGATCCCCAGCTGAGATCAAACAAGGCGACACTCTCCTTTCTTCTTCAGTTTTCATGTTGTAAATTGGTGTCCTTTTCATGATCTTTTTAGTGCTATGTTTCTCACATTTGTGCTTTTTGTTGATGGTTTTGCTGTTTAAAATGTCTCCCAAGCATGGCGCTGAAGTGCTGTCTAGTGTTCCTAGGTGCAAGACGGCTGTGATGTGCTTCACAGAGAAAGTGCATGTGTTAGAGAAGCTTCGTTCAGGCATGAGTTATAATGCTGTTGGGCATGAGTTCAATAGTAATGAATCAACAACATTAAATATTAAATACAGTGTCTTCAAAAAGATACACACATGAAACAAGGTTATATATTGATCGATTCATAAAAATGTTGTGATTAGAGACTCACAGGAAACTAATCTTGTATTTCTTTTAGGAGACATGGTTCAGTATTTACAAATTCGGTGTTTACAATGACTTTGTAGAACGTAATTACAGCAAATAATGAGAATCAATTATACCACTCTTAGTAATCAACCTCTTCTTGGGGTTCCCAAAGTAATGTAAAGATGATGAGGATCAGATTGGATTGCAGGATCTTATGATGCTCTCTGTTTCTCCCCATACCTTTTGGCATCATGAGATTGAATGATTGGACATCTCAAGGATGCTTCCAGGAACAAGCTTTGATCAAGTTTTTACATAGTAGAGCTCAATTTTGCCCCACTCCCACTACCTCTGCCATACTATTCACACTCTGTAACAAGTAGTGGAACATCATTTGCAAGGATGGGATGAATATGTAATTCTTGACGGTGAAATGTTTTTGTCCCCAAGGATCTCATCAGATGCTCAGTTTGGCTCTCATTATGCAGCAGCCAATCATTACAGGAAAAAGACTATTGCTAACCTTAGGGACATGAAACAAGACCTACCTAGCCAATATAGAAGAGGATCCTAAGATAAAAGGAAATGAGGAATATTAAAGCAGATGAAAACGCTCTTTAAGGAAGGAGAGAGAGAGATACAGATTAACACAGAGAGAATCTAGACCGTTGTACCTTAATACAGATGTTCAGTAAAGCTAAATCCATTTTTCATTGAACAATCCCTGTTTTAAAATCTCTGTAACACTATACAAACAAACAAACAAAGAGAAACCTCTACTTCTAACCCTCTTCAGGATACCTCTCACCCAGTACTCTTTATATTCTGTTGTGGGCATGGGTTGCTATTTTAATTATGGAAAGTTACAAAACAGGAAATATTTGATATCTGCTGGAAGCAAACACATGCACACACACATCAAAGGACAGTAGATTTAGAGGCAAGGGTTCTAAGATAGGAAACAGGGCTAGGTTCTAATTACCTGTAGATGGCAAACTGCTGGCTCCGTAAGACACCTATAGATGAGGCAGAAGCCCTGTAATTTGTTACTTCAAGCTGGTACAGGTTTGAGGCAAGTCAAGGTTAACCCATTATTGTGGTCCTCCACTTCAACACACCAGATGAAGGAAACAAATGCTTTATCAGGCTAAGAAGTACAAAGCAGAAAGTGGATTTGTATATCCCCCCTCCAAATCATACCATTTGGAGGACATCTAAGTTCTTTGGTTTATACACTAAGAAGAGCCTGCAACCTCCCTAACAAATATCATAGAAAGAGAACAAAATGCAATGCTTATATCTGCTTTTGTCTCAGTGGTTGTTTTGGAGTGCTTTGACCGAAACATTAATGCACAGGAGCTCTTTCTCTCAAGATGGATATGAGCCTAGAATTCAGATATAGTGTGTTAGATGATTAACACACGGGATGAATAGGCCCCTTTTACCCATTGACATATCTGTCAGCTTTGAAGACCAAATGCTCACTTGGCAGTTTGCTTTGGCAACAGAACTTTCTGAAATGGGAAAAAAAAATGCTTATAGAGGTGATCACATTTCTCACCTCTTTGTCAGAGTAGTAAATTCAAGATTTAAAATTTGTAGTCAAATATGGAATTTTGTAGGATAAAATGTGAATGCTAAAATAGACACCAGGAAAAATTATTTTTGCTTCTACAATTCTATAGTGAAGGCAATCCTAGATTTAATAGTCACTCCAAAAGGAATGGGAGGATAAAGTCTCATTGTAAAGCATAATACTATAACAAATGGGAAAGGATTGTAATTTCAATACAAAGAGAGAATACTAGTTTCGCTTTACCAAATATGTGGCCAATCATGTTTAATTGAAGCTATTCTTTCAGTGAGAAGAAATAATTTGACTTCTAGGGAGTTTTAATTGACAGTATTATAATATTTGTGCAATGTACATCAACTACAGGAATAAAAGAAGCTTTATAATCGCATGCTGAAAAATGAAATATCAATGTAAATTCTGTAAATCCCAGAAATAATATTATAACTTATTAGAGTTAGAAAGAGAAAAAACTTTTTTCACTAGATCCACGTTGCTTAGAGAGAAATAATTCTCACTGAATATAACGTACTCATCATCATTTTCCCTAACCCATCTTTTGCAGTTTTTCTCATTTCTTTTCTATGCCACTATTTCATCATCTATACTTTGGTAAGAACCAAAGTATAGAGTTATTTTTGCGTTATCCACTCTGATCCTGTGTTTGGGATTTAATGTCACCCTGTCACAGATGCTGTGATCCTTGGGAAAATGGCGTTTAAAAAGAAACAGAGTTCTTTATTAGATAGTACTTAAATCTCTTGAAGATCACATACTTGCAAACAACTAATGTATGATTTTTCAACTATTACAATGGAGGGTTGGAGGGGGTTATCCTACTTTGTCTCCACCAACAAAACATTTCAAGCTGCCTGAGTTTTTCCCCATCAGAATCATTACTCAACGAATATCAATGATGTGTTTCATCCAAACATGACACTGTACTAGTTAATGTGGTAGATGCAAAGGTCACCTGACAGCTTCTGATGGGAAAAGGAGACATGTACTTAAAATATTTGTATAGTTTACACTACAATGTGAGAAGTGTCCTAAAAATCAAAGAGTATATTGTAGGAGAGGTGGATGGATTTCCATGGAGGGGATCAATATGAGCTTTATGCAGAGGCTATATTAGAAGAAGGGAAAATTTCGACCTGAGTTGGGATAGGATGACCTAGGAAGAAAACACAGAAAAACTTCAAATGTACATGGGAAATTTGTCTAACGTGATTGAAGTATAGACTAGGTAAAGGGAAGCAGTGGATGATAAGGGTGGAAAAGTATGTAGAACTCAATATACCAAAATCCTTGAACATCAATGAAGCAGTTTAAACTTTATTATGTAGGCAGTGAGGAATCACTGAAAATTTTGAATTAGAAATCAATATAGTACAATTATACTAAGCATAGACTGGATTGAATAAGGGATGGGGTTGATGCTAAGAAGGAGAGTTAGGAGCTATTCCAGTAGGCTCGGACAAGGCAATAAACTCCAGAACTGGAATATTTCACGTTTTAATTTTTCTCTAAAACCAGTTCTCAATTTCTTGTATTTTATCAAGAGCTTGTATACACATTAAGATAGAGCCTGTATTCCAAACTAGAGTTGATAACTCTTCTTTTTTTAAATTTCAGATTTTTCATTATTCCTATACTGCTTCATATGTGATTTACAACATACACACGAGGTAAGTTCTTCAATCTTCTGGTTTTCCTGAGCAATTGTCAAACTAAATTGTTGGTGTAGATGTCAATTTGTTCATGTAAAAATATTTACCTTTTTTCAAGGGAAGTTTGGGAGTTAAACCCCCCAGAAGTGGAGGACTCCGTCTTGCAGTATGCAGCCTGGGGAGTGCAAGGGCAGCAGCTGGTAAGCACAGGCACTGCTGTGCACCACGTACTGCCAGCCAGGAGCCTATGAACCCGCTTATGGAAACCACTTTCTTGGAAAAATTTCCCTGTTACACTTAATAATTTTTATTTAACTTTTTATCTTTTATCTAGTGTTCTAACTTAAGAATATGTCAAATAACACTAGGATTATCTTACCAATTAATTAAAACACAAAAAATTTATAGAGTAATGTATGATTAAACTGCTAATTAATAATGAAAGCTTGGGGGCTGGCCCAGTGGCGCAGTGGTTAAGTGCGCACATGCGGCTTAGGTGGCCCGGGGTTCTCTGGTTTGGATCCCGGATGGGGACATGGCACCGCTTGGCACACCATGCTGTGGTAGGCATCCCACATTTAAGCTGGAGGAAGATGGGCGTGGATGTTAGCTTAGGGCCAGTCTTCCTCAGCTAAAAGAGGAGGATTGGCAGCAGTTAGTTCAGGGCTAATCTTCCTCAAAAAAAAAAAAAAAAAAAGAATAATGAAAGCTTGAAGAGATCCAAGAATACTAGGATCTAGTTTTATGATATTTCCATTACATAGTTATGTCAATTGTCATGCAGAACTCAAAAAAGAGACCATTCATATTCACTTTAAAAACATTTTTATTTAAATTCATGATGATAATGAATTCTCTTCCAGACCTTACATTTCAGAGGCCCTCCCTGAATTTTTCTTTTTTTTAAAGATTGGCACCTGAGCTAACATCTGTTGCCAGTCTTATTTTTTCTTCTTCTTCTTCTCCCCGAAGACCCCCAGTACATAGTTGTATATTGTTGTTGTGGTCCTTCTAGTTGTGGGATGTGGGATGCTGCCTTAACATGGCTTGACAAGAGGTGCCATGTCCGCGTCCAGTATCCTATCAGTCCAAACCCTGCGCCACCGAAGTGGAGCACGGGAACCCAACCACTCGGCCATGGGCCAGCCCCAAAAGCATTTTTAAGGGTAGACATTTAAGACGAAATTTACACTTGACAATATTTTCTTGAGAGGATTTTTCATCATATTTTGAAATTATCACAAACTCAGAAAGAGACTTATTGATGTATAAAAGTAGTTTGAGCAACACTATTCTCTTGTATATGTCCCGTGACGCCCATATAAGGACTTCAACAGAATAAGGCTCAGGAAGTGGTACTGCAAGCTCCGATGGCATATGCATGGTCAAACATACTAAGCATTGTGAAACTGATTTCTAAGTTGTTTGTGTTTATCCTTCTATCAGCAACAAGGTGAGAGTTCCCTTTGTTCCATATCCTCACCAACACCTAGTTTTTCCAGACTATCATATTATTTGTCAATAATGACATTATTGCTTCTTCCATTTCAATTTTTATACTTTCTGCTTATTAAAATCATCTTGCACTAGCAACTTTATGGATGTATCTAGGTATGATGTGGGATTTTTTTGTGGGAAGATTTTTAAAAACTTACTCTCTTATGGCTATCAGGTTAAGTTTTACATTTGAGTTAGTATTGGTGATATGTACATTTCTAAAAATCCATCTCACCTAAATTTCCAATTTTTTAGCATAATATTTTAATAACTTAAAAAGTATTCTTTTAATCTTTGCATTTGGTGTGATATTTTTCTTCTTTCCTAATATTATTTGTAAATACTTTCTTTCTCTCCTGATTACCTTGTTCAATATTTGTAAATTTCACATTTATCTTCTCAAAAAGCCAAAGTTTAAATTGATTTAATACTTTCTATTGTAATATTAGTGTTTTCTTTTTCTTTTCTAACGTGAACACTGACGACTATATTTTTTTCTAAATTTTGTGTAACTTTCATCGAACAAATTTGGTAGTAATATTTTTAATAGAATTTAATTTGAATATTTTTTCAATTTTCATTGTATGTTCTTATTTCAGGCGGGATATTTTGATGTTTGTTTTTAAATTTAAAAAACTTTGGAATTAGCTTTAAAACTAATTTGTAGAGTTCAGAAATGGATCTTTGTACCAGTGACTTTGAAATTGATAAGATTTGTTCATGGCTTAGTATAAACATTTATAAGTGTTTTCCATGTGATAGGTACAGCGCTCTATATATGTATCAGATCAGCCTTAATAATTATATTTTTAAGACTTATTTCTTTACCAGTAATAATGCATATGTGATCTTTAGAGTTCTGTCAGTTTTGCACTCTATAATTTGAACTATTATTTTAAGAGTGAGGGGTTTTAAATGTTAAATAAATCTTTCAGTAAGTTAAAATTCTCGATACTCTTATCAATATGTTTCCCTATTTACCTTTAAGAATTCTGATTCACCAACCCTAACTCTAAGCTTTAACAGAGTCCTTTAACAGAAGTTAGAATCTTCTAGACTTTTTTAAAATTAGAATTGCTGCTTCAACAACAGCTGGGTGGGCTGAGGTATGTTTCTTGTTTCGCATGGACCTCAAGTTCCTCAGATTTAAGATAGAAATGTCTATACCAGCCTATCATTATGATAATTCATTTGAGAAATATAAATATTTCCCTTAATAAGAAGCATGAAATTATTATTTTTATTTCATTTTGTAAATCTAAGAAATACGTTCTTAAGCTAGTTGATGAAATAAGGAAGTAGTACTAGATGTTTCATGTCACAAGAAGACTGTAGAACAGTACACTGTTACTGAACAATGTTTCTTTTCATTGGAAATATTCTGAAAGTGAATATACCTGAGATAAGGTCTTTGCCAGTGGCTGGTCATGTGACCTTGGCCAAGTCATTTTTCCTTTTGGAACCTCATTTTCTTCCTCATTTTCCTCCCCAAATCTCCAGCACATAGTTGTATATCCTAATTGTAAGTCCTCTAGTCCTTCTACGTGGGATGCCCCCACAGCATGGCTTCATGAGCTGTGTGTAAGTCTGCACCCAAGATCCAAACTGGCGAACCCTGGGCCGCTGAAGCAGAGCTCATGAACTTAACTACTGGGCCATGGGGCTGGCCTTTTTTTTCTTGTTTTGGCACCTCATTTTCATCATCAGTAAAATGAGGGCATTTGACTCTTCTTATTGGCCTCATTTATATAAAATATTATATTCTATTTTTGTTTAAATATTGAAATTATTTTAAAATTTTTATTTTCAAAATGGTTGGGATAGAGAAGAAGGGAGAACATGAAAAGTTGCAAAGATTAAGTCGTAATTTCCATGACAGATTTTCTTCTTCTTCTTTTTTTTTAATCATAGTTTGCCACTCTGAGATATTTCCAGAGTCAGCTGTGCAGTAGATGAGAGTTTTGGTAAAAATATTTTTCACATGCAAAAACAACTTTCATTGTGTGTTGGTGGATATGTTTCTTGAACATGTAAACTAAGTGTTAAATGTAATATTAAAATGACAAACTACTTATAATAGAGAAAAGACTTGACAGTAAAATAAATTGTTATCACTGGTCTTTAATCCCCCACATGTTTAACATGGTTTTATGGACTTAGACAAAAGAGACATTGAGGAAACCAAGATTTACTCAAAAATATTGAAAGAAGCATATACCAAGTTGCTGCCAGACATTGGACTTGAAGCTACTTAAACATCTTTATGGATGCATTTCACAAAGAATCTGACATAATATGCCTTTTTCACTGCCATATCCACGCTAAATGTTTGAATAGTTGATTAAACAATTATGATGAAAACAAGATAGTGATTTAAAATGAAAAAATCCAATGGTTCAGATACCATAGATTATAAATGGTGTTTGCCTTTATCATGTATGTATTTAGAGAAATTTTAAAACAATGTATTTAAGATGCTTATGTAGGACTGTCTCTAGATCCGTTGCATTATGAATTCCTGAAGATTGACAGAAGACACTGCATAGGATATGCTAGATATGACGATGCTGGGTTTGGTTCAGAGAAGGCACTAAGCAATGTGCCCATGCACAGTGGTGAGTGGGCACCAAGAGGTGGGCAGATGCTTTCACTCTGATGCTGTCAACAGGCGAGTCCATTGGGCCGGAGGCAAATTCCGAACACACAAATTCCAGACCCAGAAACCCAAGATAACTTCATTTTTATGTCACTGGAGAGTCTTTAAGAAAATCTTTAAAACTTTGGTTGGTTTTAAATGACTCCCTTATTCTCCAAGGTTGAGAGGAACCTATATCTATGCCAAAATAAAAGTTTGATACACTCAAGGAAGTAGCATCAATTGCATGCACTTTCTTTAATGGTTGCTATTAATTTCTTATTTTTCAGTATATTTGAGAAAATCATAAAAATACTTAAAGTTTATAAAAATCATAGGTCCTCTCATGGCAGTCATTTTGCAGGTAATTGAATCCTGAATCTACTACTTACTAGCCTTTGACTTTGAAAATATTAAAATCTCTATATGCCTAAATTTCCTCATCTTTAAAATGGCGACAATAGCAGTACTTTGCTAATAGTGCTGTTCTGGTGTTTAATGTATAAATATAAAGCACTTTGAAAAGTATTAAGCATAGGGTGTTTTTTAGGTGTTCATTTTTATTTTTATTTTTCAAAAGATAAAGCCTTTGTCACTTGAATTTTAACTTCAGGAATTTTAACTTCACTAGTTTTGTGAAGAACTAATCCTTTGTAATGGCATTTTCCAAAGTTCTTTGGGAAACTTTTGGGATAAATTCTATATTTGTCAAGGTTATCTTTTGTGTGCATGTAAACATAATCCAATATGAATTAAGGACACTTCTCTATGAACGGCTAATGGTCCATTTTATGTGACTATGACAGGCTTTGTCAATATTTGAAGCCATCAGCAAACTCAGCAATATGATTTTATTAGATGTGAGTCATTACAATACTTTAATTAGATTTGCATTAAATTAATGAAAGAGTCCTGTAGTGTTTATAAACTAAGGACAATTAATTTCTCATCCTTAATTTTTAGTTTCTAATTTTATTTGCTGTAAAAGAAATCCCCGGCTGTAGAGAAGAGAGGTAAGAGATTGACATAATTTCTAGATAAAGAGGGTTGAGTTAGAACTCAAAGGAT